TCTCTGGGTGGCATCCCTTTCAGGAAACCTTTTGTCCCTTCTGTGACCACTGGCAACTTCAATCTTAAAATTCCTAATCCTAAGCCACGCAGAGAGACTGAGCTGTTTTCTTCCCTGAAATTCTAATAAAACTAGAACTGAATCTCATTGGCTCTGACTGCATGATATGCCCTGACCCTATCCCCATGGCCAGAAAGAAAATAATTCTGATTGGGTCCAATGTCTACACCCAGCCTGAAGTGGCTGAGAGTAGGGGGCAGATGTTGTTAAGGAAACCAGGCAGGAGAAAAATAAAGAAAAACAGACCTCTGTTGTGCTGAGACATAGGAAACTGAATCGGCCAATGAATATTTTGAAACTATCAGTGACGGCAGAAAGTTAATATTGTCTTTAACTCTTATTACTCAAAAAGTCTGAGCCTCATCATGTACATAGAGATAAACTTGTAAATATTGGTTGGGCTTTATAAATTTTCTACTTCCTTCTTTCAAAGGCATCATTATTTATTTTATCATGTGGCTTGAAACTGTGGCTCTGTTTGTCTTTCATTTCATTTCTCACCCATCCCATATTGAATGGGCCAACAGAACCTATTGACTCTTCTTTATTTTTTTATTGAGTTTTTTGAATTTGCTACATCTCTTTATTATATTACAATTAAGCTGTTAAACTTGTAGCTTCGTCAACATTAACTGGTTCATTTTCTTTTTCTTTCTTTTAAAAAAAAATACTGGTTCATTTTCATGATGTGGTTGATTAATCAGCTCTTTCTGGGGGCCAGGGAGATGGCTCAGTGGAATATGTGCGTCCCTAGCAAGAGCAAGGGCCTGAGTTCAATCCCCCGGTTCTGAAAAAAATACACAAGAACTTTATTCTTTCAGTAGAGAAATCCGCCCTTTCAAAAAAAAAAAAAAAAAAAAAAAAATCAGCTCTTTCTGCTGAGGTTCAAGAGTCAGCCTTTTTGAGAAGAGTGCAGGTTCCTTCTGAATGTTTACAAAAGCATTATTCATTTTGTGCACCTTTTCATCATTCACAATGTTTGTCTTCTTAAGATTAGTAGTAACTGGTTTTGCTTTGTTTTTGGACCTGAAGTTTCTTTGGCTGGCTATGTGAAATACATTTTTGGACTTCCGCCCTCTTACTTCATTCTGCCCATTGTCTTTGATATCCACATGCTGCTACTCAAGCTCCAGGGGACGCCCTGGACTCTTCCTTTAAATTATCTCTCTTACTTATTTTTTTTCTCTGTTCCCACTGATGCAGCTCGAGCAGCTCCACACTTACATTCCCTCCCTTTTGAAATAGTAACATTTTCTTCATAAGTCTAGTTCAGGTCCAAGAGCAGCAGTCCCTAGCCTATTTGGCACCAGAGATCAAATTGGTGGAAGCCAGTTTTTTAGTAGAAGGGGGTTGGGGTGGTGAGAATGGCTTCAGGGTGACTGCAAAACAACCCAGATCGCTCACATGTACAGGTCACAGTGGGGTTTGTGCTCCTATGAGAGCCCCGTGCTGCCACTGATCTGATAGGCAGAATGGAAGCGGTGTAAACACAGATGCTGCACACGATTGTCCATCGCTCACTTCCTGCTCTCTGGCCTGGTCCATAACCAGTAGCAGTCTGTGGCCTGGTGATTGGGGGCCCCTACTTTAGAGGACTGATGAGTTATGAACCGGTTCCTGAGCCATAGCCTGTGACCAGGGCAAGGTCCTGATTGGCCAGACCTGGGTCATGTGACCATCCTGGAGCTGGTCAGGAAGGCAATCAACCTTTAGCCAATATCTTAGTCAAGGACTAAGATGAGGGAAGAGAGGATGACAGAAGACAATCATGGCATCAATGCCAAAAGAAGGGGAAATCGGTAGGTAAAAACAGATACACAGTGAAAACTAGAGTACCCTAAAAAAGGAGATTCAATAGGATATCAGAAAATGGAGAGATATCCCTTGCTTTTGGATAGGAAGAGCCAGCATTGTGAAAATGGCTGCACTCCCAAAACTGTTACACAGATTTAATGCAGTCTCAATCAGAATACCATTAATAGACCTCACAGATCTAGAGAAAATATTCCTAAAAATCGTCTGGAACATGAAGAGACCTAGAATAGCAAAAATAAGCCTGGGTAACAAAGGCAAGTTAGGGGGGCACAATACCAGACCTGAAATTATACTACCCAGCTACTGTGATAAAATCAGCATGGTATTGGCAAGAAAACAGGCCTGAGGAATAGTGGAACAGAACAGAAGATGTAGATGCAATCCCAGACACACTTATGTTTGACAAAGTAGCCAAACATGTTCACTGGAAGAAAGATAGCCTCTTTAATAAATGAATGGTGCTGGAATAACTGGCTTTCCACATACTGAATACTAAAACTAGGCCCATATCTATCACCATGCACTAAACTAAAGTGAAAATAGATCAAAGACCTAAATATTAAAATAAAAACACTAAATTTACTAGAAGAGAAAATATGTTGAAATCTTGGGTTGGGGAGATAGCTCCATGGTCTAAGCACCTGCCTGGAAAGCCCAAGGACCTGAGTTTGATCGCCAGTATCGCATGCCATGCCAGCCCCAGAACCCTGGGCGCACCATGCCAGCCAGTGAACCAGCTAGTGCACACCTGTAATCCCAGCACTAGGGAGGCTGAGACAGAAGGATTTCTGAGCTGTTTATCAAGCCCCTGTACTAAATAAATAAATAAATTTTTTAAAAAAGAAATCTTGAAGACGTAGGTGTAGATAGAAACTTCATGAACAAAACCCAGACTGCAAGGGAAATACTACAAAGAATCAACAAATGGGATCTCAACTTACTAAAAAGCTTTTGCACAACAAAAGAAATCACCAACAGAGTGAAAAGTGAAAAGACACTCACAGAGTGGGAAAAATTATAGCCAGTTGTCCCTCAAAGGACTTATACCTAGAACATATAAACTATTGAAAAAAATCAGAACTCCCAAATTCAAAGACACAATCTAAAAGTGGGCATCTCAGATGAAGAAATACAAATGGCAAGTAAATACATGAAAAGATGTTCAACATCTCGGTCATCCAAAAAATTCAAATTAAAACAACAATCTCACCACAGAGAGAATGCCTATCATCATCAAAAAAATTAACCGATAACAAATGCTGGAGGGGCTGTGGAGGGAAAGTAACCCTTCTCCACTGTTGCTGGGAGAATAGACTGGTGCAACCACTTTGAAATCATTGTGAAGATTCTTAACAACAAGGATTATCTGGAGAGAGAGCTCAGTGGTATAAATGTTTGCCTGGCAAGCACAAGATCCTGAGTTCAAATCGTGGTACAAAAAAAAAAAAACCCAAAAAACTCTAAACTAGAATTAGAGGTTGACTCAGCTATTCCCCTTCTGGATATCTTCCCAAGATAATACATTGTACCACAGCAATATATGTGCATCAGTTTATAGCAGCACGATTTGTAATAGCTGAATCTTGGAAACAACCCAGATGCCTATCAACAGATGAACTGACAAAAAAGTTTTTTTTTTTTTTTTTTAATAACAGAGTATGACTCAACCACAAAGACGGATAAACTGGAGCCTTTTCTAGGTAAATGGATGCAACCTGAGACCATACTCATAAGTGAAATAAATCACACCCGTATGTGTAAACATCATATTGTCTCACCAGCGTGAGAAACTGAATGAGTAAATAAGTCCAAAATGTGGAATAGATACTGTGAATTACAAAGATACTTTTCAAAAGAAAAGGTAAATTGTGATGGGGAAAGGGAAGAAGAAAAAAAAATAGATTTATACACAAGGTAGTTAAAGATAGTTAAACAGCTAGTTTCTCTTAGCTCATTAAAAAGGAAATTTTGTGCTAATATTGTTTGGACAAGATGTCATGCCTGTATCTCCTACTCTGAATAACTACAATAAAGACAACATTATGCAGTGAATTAATTATTGTAACTTTCCTACTAACTTGTTTGAAACTGTTTCATTGTTTGTTTCTCTTTAAACTATAAAAATAGGAATACAGCACACTTAGAAAGCAAAGCCATGGGCTGGCCAAATAGCTCAGTGGATGAGAGCGCCTGAAAGCAGATGGAGGGGCTGGGGATTTGGTCCCCAGGCCTGCTGTGCCGGCACTGCCCCCGGGGTGTGCTGAGTCAGCAATTAAGACGGTGTGGTGGCACGTACCTGTAACCCCAGCTCTTGGGAGGCTGTAAACAGGCAGATCACTACAAGTCTGATCTAGTAGTGAGACCCTGAACACCCTGTAGACCCTTCCTTAAAATAAAAAAAAAAAAAAAAAAAGGAAAGAAAGAAAAAAAGTAAAGCCACATTACCTCTCACTGGGAAGTGTGCTGTGTCTGCAGATCAGAACTCATGGTCTCATGAAGTCCTCTACTCAGTCTGGAAGGGTCCCAGCAGCTGCTGCCCTCCTAAATCCTCTAGTCCCTATTGACTAGTCTTCCTTTGTTGCCCCCTTATCAGTAGATGTTCCTGGTCCTTCTAAGCCTTCCATTGCCCTCTTCCCCCAAGCAAGGCAATGTATTGCTTAAGATATAACTTTTGCTGTCTATGTCAAACACCCCAAAACAATAGTTTTAACAAGATTTTTAAAAAGTTGGTAGTGTCTTGCACAATTGCCTATCACTGATTTGGTGGCTGTGCCCTTCCAAGCCGCCGGCAGCCCAGGCCCTCTCCCGCGGCACGGCGCGTTGTCTTCCTCTGCGTGGTCTGAGCTGGTGGTGACTGTGTCTGCAGTCCAGCCGACAGGAGGGAGAAGCCTGGGAAAGGGAAAATAACCCCTTTCTTTGAGAGGCACAACTTGAATGTTGGTACATCACTTGCACCACTCCCATTCCCACGTGTATGTGCAAAGGAGCCTGGGAAACACGGTCTTCCTTTTGGGGAGCTGTGTTCCCCGCTGTGAAGGAAAAGACCGGACACTGCAGGATAACCAGCACTTCCTGCAAGGAAGAAAGAGAAAAATCTGACTTTATCTGTCCTCTCTGTTTTTCAGATTGATGAGAAGATCCTCCAGCGACTGCAAGTGTAGAAAGGTCGTAACGCTCTGGAGTGAAGACCCGGTACCAGCATGGCTGCCTACTACCGGAATAACAGCTATTCCAACGATGAAGATTACCCGGACTATTCAAGGCCTCAGGACCATAACAAGGAGTATTTGAAAATTCAGAATTATCTAGATATTCCAGGTTCTCAGAACAATCCAGACTATCCCAGCTCCAGGAGCAATGCACACTCTGTAGGCTCCAGAACAAATCCAGGCTTTTCTGGGTCTCTTACAGAACCAGATTATCCTGGATCTACAGGTACTCCAGATTATCCCCACATCAGGAATAATCCCTATTCTGAAGATTCCAGGACAAGTCCAGACTATCACAGATCTCTGTCAGAGCCTGATTATAATGAATTCCAGAACAATCCCCGGCACTTAGGCTCACCCAGAAAGCCAGAGTCTCCTAGATCTCAAAGAAATCCCGATTTTGCAGATTCCAGAATCAGTGAAAATTATGCAAATACCAGAAGAAAACTAGATCATTTTGGAACCTTGGAAGAAGCAGACTACCCTGGAGCTAAAGGCAATACTAACCATCCTGGCCAGAGAGCCAATTTTAACCATCCAGGCTCTAGAAGGGGTCTAGGTTATGCAGGTTCCAGAGTAAGTCCATACACAGACTTCCTGGGACAGCCTGATTATCCAGGTGCTGAAAATCAACCCAACCCTTGCCATTCTTTTGGGGAACCAGATTATCCTGGTTCTGTGGACCATCAGAATTCTCCAAACTTTTGGGGGGAACCTGATTACCCGGATTCTAAGGATGGCCAAGGTTATAGCCCTTCTGAGATCCGGAATACGACTAGGTGGTAAGTTCAGGTATATCCCTTTTTTGATAGGCTTCCCTTCTTGCCTCTCAATTAGGCTTTTGCTTCCCAAAGAAACTTTAGATGTGGGTCCCTTTCAGTGAATGACACTGATGTACTTAGAAAACTAGACTGCTTTTGACAGTTGTAAGGTTGCCTACTTGTGCTTTATATAGATGATTGTTTATTAGTTAGCCAGCTCCTTTTTCCAAACTGTTGCATGGGTATGGAGCACATCCTTCATGTGGCATAGTTGTCTTAGTATCAATACTTGAGTAAGGGTTATGAGCTCTGGAGGTTTTATTTCATTTTGTTTTTTGAGCAGAGATCCCTGGGGGCAAGGTTTGTCTTCAGTGACTTGTGAATGGACAGCTGCATGATCTGACTTTCAATGCCCTTCTTAGACAAAGCTACTTCTATCAAGTGTGCCCAGGCCTAAGAAGCTATAGAAGTTCCCAGCAGGGGTAAGGGGAGAGCTGGGGAAGGCAAGAGGAGGGAGAATTAAAGATAAAAGACAATACACAGAGAGCTGAGGTCAGGTGAAGCCCTCTCTCTCAATGGAAGGAAAAGAACTGCTCAACCACCATAGCACATTTATTTATACATTTGACAGGTTGGTATCACATGACACCCCTTTTGCCTCACAACCCACTGCTTATATTGTCTCAGGGTTTGATGTTCTCTGTACTGAAGCAGCTTGTTCACGTGGCTTGAGTCAGGCACTCTTTGTTCTCCAACAGGGCTTGCCTCGCCCCCACCACACGATCCATTTCCAGCTCCAGCCGCTCCCTACCCACATCTATGAACTATACCTCCTCAGGGTTTGGTGGGCAGCTCACTGATATCCTGTCTGCTTGCATGGGTCTGGGAAACCACCTATTCACAACAGTGGGGAATTTCTTTTTTCTTTTTTAACCATCTTATCTTTTTTATTTCATATTTTTTATAATTATCCTTTGATTTATTTTCCTTTTTTTTTTTAAATTCTGAGCTTGTAAGTATCAATGATGCAGGAGTAAGAGTAGTGTAAATTTTAATACTAACCTTAGGGGTGTCCAAGCAGCATGGCTTGGCATAGTTCCAACAGACAAAATCCGCTTTGGTCTTTGCTGGATTTGGAGAAATGCCACCAATTTTGCTAGTAAATCCTGTAGTAGTAAGAGGATAGATCACTGTGGGACAATTAAAACTCATGGTTGGGTTGACCATTTGTCCTTGAAGCGACATGACAGAGCAAGAGTAAAGAAGCTCTGATTTGACCTCAATTAGATCTAGAGGAGAGATTTTAGAGAAAGAAGCTACAACAGAAACCAAAGGAATTGAAATACTTAGCTGTGACATCCAGGGTCACCCAGGGTTTCCTGCAGGAGATGGAGATACCCTTGAACGGCACTTTATAGGTTCCCCTGGGGTGCTTCCGTCTTCATCAAAGTAGCAGATAAGATTTTTGGCTTAGCTGCCTTCCGATAGTGGAGATAGTTAAGCCTCCAGCACCATGAGTCAGACACTTTGACCACCTGGGGCACAGAGCCGGGCCCATGCCAGGGGTGGGTTGGTACAGTCAGGTGCCCAGTGTCCATTTTTTGTAGGCTTCGATTGGGCCTGGGTTTCCCCTTGGACAGCTTAGATGTGCTCGAAGCCCTGCCAATTGGGACAGCTATAATTCTGGTCTTTTCTTTTCCTCAGCCCTTTTCCTTTTATCCTCATCTAGAACCCAATTTTTGAACACAGGAAAGGTCGTGTCCAGCAATTGGATCATCTTTAAAAAATACTGGGTTTCTCTGGGGCACCAGCCTCTAGTGGAAACGGATGTGAGAGCCCCAGACCCCTAAGAGACAGGTAGGCATCTGAGGACAGGATAGCAGTGGTACTGGTGAGATCTCTTCATGGGCCTTCCTAGAGATTAGGAACCATAAAAGCCTGAATAGAAAGGGTTCACACCATTTTCCTTGCCTTTTGCAAGAAAAGCCCAAGTTGAAGAGCACTACTACAATTTAGACGCCATTCTGTACCCGTCTCTAGCCATTTCCTAGTCACGCTGGACCCAAACATTGCAGAAAAGGGTGGAGCTCCTGGGGCTCTGGCTTACTATCTTCAAGATCAAATTGCTGTCAGTTTTTAAGGATACAGTCTAATGGCAAGGTGGCTGGAACCCGCAGGGTGTTTCACATGGCCTATGTAGAGACAACTTAGGCCCGGGTCCTTAAGATGGCATCCCATGCAGAAAGAGAAGAACCACTGAGTCCACAAAGCATTTCTTGTGAGACTCAACTACTTAACTATGCAGGTGTCTGCTGGAAGTTGTCTTCCTAGAGCCCTCTAACGCCTCAGGAAGAACAACGGAGCCCTCTAGTGGCTGCTATAGAAACTCCCATGAGTTTAGGCTCCCTTCCCAGGGATTCCTTTAGCCATTTGGGAAACAGTACTCTTAAGAGATCAGGGTGGAACCCCTTGAAAACAGTAGCCCTTATGTTTACCCTGATTATGAAAACCTCGGTACCTTGTTTAAGGCAGTGGAGGGAGACGCCACTTTAGTGTATGTTTCCAAAGTGAGCACAGTAGAAGCCACTTCAAAAAGTCCTTAAAAAGTTTTAAGAACCAAGAGGGTTCTACTTTTGCATCTCACTGCTGCTTGAGCTTTACTGACAGTTCCTTTGGTCCACTCAGACCCCAAGCACATGTTCCTAAATTACCTGAATTGGTTAGGAAAAACAAGGAAAGGATCTAACTTAATTCAAAAGAGAATGGAGAGGGCTGGGGAGATGGCTCAGTGGAATAAGCGCTTCCCTGGCAAGCGCAAGGGCCTGAGTTCAATCCCCAGTTCTGCCCCCGCCCAAAAAAAAAAAAAAAAACAAAAAGAGAATGGAGGAGAGATCCATGTGTTCTCCCAAATTTGTGCCTTAGCTCTTAGCTACAGCCTTGAGATTTTCTGAAGCTCATGAGGCCAGTTGAAAAAAGAAAAGAAAATGAATAACAAGTATGGTAGAATCATGTGGTCCCTCATATGACCAACTAACATGACTGGCAAACATGGCAAAATCTTCGTAGCTGAGCCACAGGGTGAACCAAAATGACCACTGAATATGACAGAAAGGTGGACTGGGATGAAACACGACCCTGGGAGAGTGGCTCACTGGTGATACTCAGTGATAAAAGGCCATCCAGGGGAAAAATCACAGGTGAGGCTGTGAGCACAAAAAGGAGTAAGCTAGGATAAGCACCCACTCAAGCAGGAGACAAGTTACCAATAATTACTTTTCCCATAACAGTGAGAAAGCTGAGCAAAGTATTGTGGAGAACAGAAGCCAAAGGACAAAAAGACACAGTGAACTCTAGATTGCCCATAGTGACCCTGAATGATCTGCTCTGAAGACTTCCTGGAAGCTGTTTACTGATTGAAAACAGAAAAGGGAAGAAAACAAAGTAGAGAGAAATGAGAGTGGATCTGTGGTTGGGAAAAACACAAGAGCCATGGGCTAGGAGGGGCAGGGCATCATCTAGCCATAGATTTTAGAAAGAGAAACAAACCATAAAAAGTGTTGCCTCAAAGGGCCTTATCTCTTTTCTGGTTCTGCTAAGTATGTTACTAGACTTGGAGATACTGTGATTTCTTTCAAGAGGTTGTTTTGGAGTTCATTGTGTCTTAAGCAAAGAATTGTTCAAGACTAGCATGGAAGGTAGCTAGGTTTTACATTTATTAAAGGTAGAAAAAAAAGACCTGCTATGCAGAGTAAGTTTTGGCCAAGTAAAAGTAGGAAAATGGTGTGCTTCACAGCATGACTGGACTGCTGTGAAAGGAGGCAGTAGCTGCCCGCCGCTGTTTTTTTCTTTTTTTCCACAATTTTACTGAGAAACAAATAGCAGTGAGACAGTTTCAAATCAAATTGGTAGGATAGTTTCAATAATTAACACATTGCATACATTCTTCCTAGTGGTTAATTGCTGTTCAAGATTCGGACATGGTATCCTCTTTACAAACATCATTAGAACAAATCCCTCTAGTCATTAAGAGAATGTAACTATATATCTATCCTAACCACTTTGAATACACAGATACAAAATGGATATTCAT